TTTTTTTTTTTTTTTTGTTAAATGGGCTTCTCTGTTTTTTGTTTGCAGGCAGCTATCAATGGTGTAATACCCCAGGAAAATGGCATTCTACAAAGGTATGTTATAAGGTGCTTAATGATAGGATGAGAATTTAGCAAAGCAAAAAGAGACAATTGTTAATCTTTTTGTTTCGCTTTTTGATAGACCATTTGATACAGCATTCTTTGGTGTAGAAGCTCATTAATATTGTTACTGTTCTTACAGACATTTTTATTATATCAATTTCCTAAAGTCTGTAGCTTTTAACTGTATTATGTTATTTCAGAATGGGTGGTACTATTTTTAAAGCTGGTTTTATTTTATTTTTAGGAAAGCTTTTCGGGTGCCTGGGTGGCTCATTCGGTTGAGTGTCTGACTATTGATTTCAGCTCAGGTCATGATCCCAAGGTTGTGGGATCGAGCCACGTGTCAAGTTCTGCACTGAGTGTGGAGCCTGCTTGAGATCCTCTCACTCTTTCCCTCTGCACTTCTCCCCTGCTTGCCTGCACACTGTTTGTCTTTTTCTGTCTCTAAAATAAAAAAGAAAGGAAGAAAGAAAGCTTTTCAAGGTCATATTCTAATTCATAAAGTGGAAAGAACTGAATCTCAGCAGCTCTAAAACATGGTTATCATCTACCAATTCAGCCTTTGTCTCCAACCAGTTTACTACATTCTTTTTCCCACTCACTTTTGTTTTCTAAATTAAGTATATGATAACTTGCAACAATTTCAGTAAGTTCTTAATTGATGAAACTTCCTAGAACATTGAACTATTTCATCTGAAGAATCCATTGTTAACATGTGGAATGGTCTTCATGGTTTTGTGTCATTGCCGGAAGGTAAAATTGGAAGATGATGCCAAGAGAACTCTAAGTTACAAAATAATAATTCCTTAAATTAGAAGTAACTTTTCTTAAGTTTTCTTTCCTTAAAATTGGAGACTCTGGTTTGGATTAAAAGAGGACACTTATAAAGTCATAGGAGGTAAAACCATTCTCCCTTCCAAGTGTAGTTTAATTACTTGATTTCCCCCCATCCCCCATTCAAACTTTGGCTTGAATTTTGGTGGCTGGGATTTCTAAGTCACTGAAGCATGATCTGCTAAGTGCAGATGAGGCAAACAGAAACAGCAGACTAGGAATGAGGTTGTTTTGAAGAGAAAGAAAAGTGCTGTTGCAAAACTGTCAAAAAATTCACCATGAATTGCAAAATGTGCTGTACTTTATAGGAAATTGTCTATATTTAGAAAGGAAGCAAATTTTGTTTGGTACCAATACTATCCTTAGTGATTACAGACCTGTTCCCTAAAAGAAACAAAAACAAAAACACAAAAAAAACTGTGAGAAAGACTTTCCATCCAGAGTAAATGTGGCTGATTTCCAGAGTCTGTACCAAAATTTTTTTGTTTACTCTTTTCTTCTTTTTTTTTTCTTTTTTCCTTTTTTTCTTTTTTGGTTCAAAAGCATTTAGTTTTATTGAAACTCTTGTCTAGAAAGCAAACCAGGTGATTACAGGAACTTCCTTCATGATCTTTTTTTTTTTCCCCCGCTTTGGTTTAAAAAGGTTTAGACTGCTAAATATGGTTCCAGTTTTATTCTTGAGTAAATGTTATTCCACTTTTTGTGCCAAAATTTTTGCTTGCTAAACCCTTGTGGATTCAGCTGCTGGGTTCTGAGTACATATTGGATATATCTTAACATTAACAGTATTATGCTATGGGTGAACTGTAGAAATTCCTTCATCCCTGGAAACATTCCACCTCTCCTGTCAAAGATGATAGTTTTTGCTTAATATAAGTAAAGATACAGCACTAAATTGACTTCTAATGAGGTTACTGTAATATTTGAGGTTTAACTTTTATCAGAGTTGGTTTTGTTTATTTTGTTTGCTTGTTAAAGCAATGACTTATGTGCACAGAAGAAAATCAGTTGTATCTAGTAATAGTCTTCAACTCTTTCCCTTCCTAACCTTTTTCTTCAGCTTTGAAATCAGTGTGGACTTGACATAACTGAAAATTCCTTTTGTAGATCTTTTGACCAAAGGAAAAGAAAATGTTAGTTTCTCATTTACTTAACACTGAAAGTGGAAGACACGGTGTAAGAATGGTATATGTAGGTAGTTAAAAGGATTTTTGTTTATTTGACTTTTGTAGTAAAATTGAATATAGTCTGTGAATACAGCTGAGTCTTACCTTGTCAGTTCATACCTCAACAGAGGAAAGAGCTACCAAAAATATTTTTTTAATATGAATTACTTTTGGAAGGAGAACAGCCCAATCCCTGTGCTTTATAGCTTTTCTTGAAATCAGATATTTGTATGAATTCAAAAGTGGGAATATGGTTTTTAATGTACCCATAAAGTTCAAAGCAAAGAAATTAACATTTTCCTAATGCTTAAGGCACTGTGTCAGGTAATTGACATATATTTCATCATTTAATACTTATTATAACCCTCAAGAGGTAAGTGTTCATATTTCATAGATGGGGAAACTGAAGGGTAGAGAGTTGACATAAATTTACTCAGGTAAATTTACTCAGTAAACTAGACAATGTCACACCTTTGTTTTAAGATTTTTTCCTTTGGGTAAAAAAGTTGGAATTTATACACGTGTGTAAGGTCTTTATCCCACAGCTTTGTTTTTATAGTTACTATTTTAGTTGTAAGCAAGCAAAGGCAATTACGACTATTTTAGTTGTAAGCAAAGCAAAGATGTTACTATCCCTCGTTTTATAGGTAGGATAAGGCGTGAAATGACTTGGCCCAGATGATATAGCATGATGTTGATAGAGTCAGGAATATAAGCAAGTCTTCTGCCTCATCCTCCAAGGCTTATTTCACTAGACAATATACTACTAATACCATATGTTTATAAACTGTGTAACTTATGCTGTCATAAATGTAAACAATTTAATCATAAAACATCAAATGTGTGCATGTTTATTTACTAACATCTTGGTATAATATTTATTTAGCATATTGTCCAGAAACTTTTTAAACATTATTTTTATAGGCAGTTATTGTTAGAAGGAAGAGCTAATGAATTACTCATGTTAGTAGACAGCACATGCTATGTCTTCTAAAAATTAAAAAAAAGTTTTTTTTAATGTTTATTTATTTTTGAGAGAGAGGGAGACAGAGGATGACCAGGGGAGGAGCAGAGAGAGAGGGAGAAACAGAATCTGAAGCAGGCCTCAGGCTCTGAGCTGTCAACACAGAGGTGGACATGGGGCTCAAACTCACAGACTGCAAGATCATAACCTGAGCTGAAGTTGGATGCTTAACCAACTGAGCCACCCAGGCGCCTGTTTCCTAAAAATTTTATGAACCAGTAGTGTAATTTTCCTCATTGACTAAGGATGGTGTTTATCAACTCATATTTATTTTTTGACCGAGGCAGATATATTGTATGTTTCTTTGTCTATTATTTAACTCATTGAGGGAACCTAGAGAAGACCAGAAAATAGTCCATTGTAGAGCAGCAATCCATTTGGTAATCAGGACCTTTCACCTCACTTAGTATCCCTTCATTTGCTAGTTGATTCAATAGTCTGAGGAGTACAGAACTGCCAAGTGGCATTCTCAGGTTCTAATTCTGCGAAAGTATTGTGGAAACATTACATTTTTTGGGAACTGTGATCTCTGAACCACCAGAGCCTAAAGTAGCAGGAAACAAAAATTCTGTTAAGTTGTTAGGCATAATAAAAGGAACCACTACCACTGCTTAATTCTCATACCCATGTTTTCTGGTAGTATGAGAAACATCATAGTTTTGGTCACTGATATAAAGCATACACCACATCCTTTAATGTGGAGCCTCAAGCTTTGAGTATGTTGTCTCCCAACCTGTGCCATAACTGTCTTCAGCAGGACATTCCACTGTTTTGACAAGCTAGGTGCTTCAGGGTAACAGGATATATGAATGATACCAGCACTATACCTCTTTTGCTGTGAAATGAGTTCCTTGTTTAGAACAAGGGGAAGCCATAGATCAATAAGCATTTCCTCAATACATGAATGTTGCTACTGGCAGAATCATTACATCAGGGAAGTCAATTTCATATCCAGAAAAGTGTCTTTTTAAGTGAGAACAGATTGTTTCCTCCTCCATGATAGAAATGATCCATTACCAGATCCCTAAGGAATGATGCCATATTAGGGGCTCAGTATTAGTCTCTGTTGGTAGCAGTTTAGACACTCAGTAGTTTCCGTAGCCAGATTCAGACTTGGTAAGGGGAAGTTGATATTGTGCTCTAACCTCCCTCCTTTTGGCATGACTACATTATACATTAATGCATTGAACAGTCCTAGGGTAGTAAGGGAAAAAACTGACTCACAACAATAGAACATTGTTATCTTATGCCACACTGAGAGCCTTTTTTTCCCAGCGGATAGCCTATAGGCAACATTCCCCTAAAACATATATTTACATTCTGTCCATTCTAAAAGATCCATTTTCATAAATTCCGCCCAGACTTCCTTGTCACCTAATTTTGTTTTATTCTTTCCAAGTCCTGATCAGCTGGCCAACCTATAAGCTATTGCTTGTGATTCAGTATAGATTTGTACCTCAGGCAATCTCTCTTTCTAAATGAAAAGGTCAACCTGTGGTACAATATCAAGTTCTCCCCACTGGGAGGCTTTTCTTTCACTGCTATCTTTTTGGGGTATCTTTGTTTGGAGGCTGTTATGCTTCAGCAGTTTGTTTTTGGTTGGTGTGAGCATGTATACACAACCATCTTTTCTTTTCCCAGTCTAAATCTTTCCTTCCTCTGTTAACTTAGTTATCTCTTATTATTGATGGGAAGTGCAAGATACAGCAACTGCCTTTTACCCTGACTTGTTTATGGCCACTGAATCCCAGAAACTTCACCAAGGTGGTGAGATCCTGCATTTTTGAGGCATGTATCTTCTAATTTGATAAGACAAAGCATCTCAGTGCTTGCTACTATTGTTCTTCAGGATCAGTTCACATTGTTATCAACGTAATGTTGTTTTGTGGAATGCTTGGTGATCAAGATCTCTCTAGACTAGATTATTATGCTAGAGAGAGTTTACATAATCTTTTAGAAAAGGCAGT